AGGATTTGGAGGAAAATATTGTCAATTTGGTGGGTTTCACCTGAAATCTACTCTATTCAACTTAAACAATACTTAAGCTCTCAATCAATAAGATATATTTATGAGAGCATTTTTTGCAGTACTGCAACCACGAACATGTGCTGAGGCCAATACATTTTACGATCTCCCATCAGGACCCACCCAATTAGACGTGGATGGATCACGTCCATCTTTTGGAAGTGTTGCTGTTTGCAACAACGGAATGTGAGTTTTTTTCTATAAGCGCTGACATCTTATTGATCACCCATATAGGCAAAAATGCACTAACATAAGAAACTTTGGCAATCGGAATTCTGCTCACATCTCAACCTTGAATAAAATGTTCAAAGGCTAAAAATTACTACGTATTTTCAAAGTTCTTGGTATGCAACTTCTTTACAATAACTAGCTGGTACAATTTTAAAAAAATAGTTCCCGTAAAAATTGAAGAAATCAGAATGGAAAAAGAAATGCTCTGCGAATCGATTATTGAAAGACTCTATTTTTAGCACTACAGTACCTCATGATATGCCAAATGGCACTGTGGCAAGGTCATCTGAGGATACAACACATGCAATGTTCATAATATCCTATAGGGATTTCACCAGCGAGAAGTTGGCAAGGTAAACGACTATTTTGGGCCACACTACCTTATTACATATTCGATCTTTCAAAGAAAAAAGCATTACTAAAATGTGAAGTTACTTATATTGCTTTTCTCTCTACCATCCTCCTCACGCGTCCTCCCCTCCCTCAAACGTCGCTTACCCTATCCCTTGCGTTTCTTACGCTTTTACTGGGATCTGTGACATCCTACAACTGCAAAAATCTGTTAAAGGCTAACTCTAAAGGAACTTCTTTAAACTTTGGCTATTTTTTCCTAATTGTCGACGAGTTAAAATAGTGCGGTGCAAACTATAACCACCAAGAAGTTTTAATATTTCAGGCTCATCACGAACTCTGGCTCATGTAGACAATTTGTACAGTATGACTGCAATAATGCTGCGTTGGGGTGAGCATGCACGATGGCTTATTGATTTGAGTCGCTATAACAGCAACGATTGCAGTCTTTCAGCTTTGAATCCAATAAAACTTGGTTCAATGTGGCTGTCTGGAATCGTACTGTAAAAAAGATTGGACACGTGCCAAACAGTTGTCCTTGTATGGATT